ACAGAATGAGAGCCGACTTGTAATTGGTTGCTCCGGGCAGCAGGCGTCTTTTGGAACACAAGAAATACAGAACGCTTGCCTCAATCTTTGGTCTTTTTACCCTCATACATTCCAGGCGCTGGATTCTAGACCTGCGGCTACACAGAGATATCGCACAATGATCAGCAACAATGACAAAAAATAGGACTTAAAGGGGAGCACCCATCACCGACTTACCTGTAACGGTGCATGTCCCAGGCCTTGTTTTCAGATCCCCCAACCTGCGTACTTGCCCCTTGTTAGTGACCCGTGCCATTCCTTCACTATCCCATCGAGCAGTCCCTGTACACAGAGGCCGGTGTAAGCTTCTTCCTGCTCACAGCTCTTTAGGAATCACTAGACAGCAGCTGTGATATGGAACGGCATGGGGGTCACTTTAACGTGCTACTGCTGCCAACACTTTTTTTTTTTGCATTGGATGAGGTGGAGAGGGATCAGAATCCCCATCAGGTTTTCACTAGGGAGATTCACCCGCTCTATGTGTCCCGGTGAATGTTATCACTTAACGTGAAAGAAAATCCCACATTTTGGGTTGTCATCAGACCAGGAATAGATGGGAAATCTCCCAATGGGGACACTGTGTTGAAGCACATAGAGCGTCCAATGGGAAATGTTCAGACTGCTGCTAGTCATGTTCTCCACAGCCGACCATAGACTGTTTGCAGCAACAAGAGTCTGTACCCCATTGTAACCCTACTCCAGGCGTAAGCAACCTCGGCACCCCAGCTGTGCTCAAAATACAATTACCATCATGCTTCTGCCTCCGGGAGTCATGCCTGTGGCTGTCAGAGGCTTGCAGTGCCTCATGGGAGTTGTAGTTTCACCCCAGCTGGAGTGCCGAAGTTGCCCACCTTTGCTCTACTCGAAAACTACTTAAGGCAGAAGTCTGACATGTGATGCGTAACGCTTTTGAATACATTTCCTTATATATTGTGATTTATTAAAAATATAAAATGAAGAGGTTATACTTCGATGAATATGGATTATTGCCAATGAATAGTTCACATTTCCCACTGGCAACAGGTCAACAAACACCATGGTTTAAACTACTCGGATGTTGTGAATAGCTCATGTTGTAAAGGGGGATATTCAATAACACAGCAGAAGCTGAATGAGTCAGGGGCTGGGCACGCCGCTGGAAGAAGTGGCGCCTTTCGGGATTGTCTATCTTTAAGAGTACTGTATTTTCCCGTCTATAAGACGCCCACATGTATAGGACGCCCCCACTTTTCTTACCCAAAATTCAGAAATCAATATTTTCCATGCTCTTTTGCATGACTGATTACATCCAGTTTAAATTTTGCAGAGTAAGACATCCGCTTACTGGTACCGGTATTTATTTTTGTTTTCTGACATTTTTATGGGCTCCCTGTTGCATCTGGGCACTGGCTACACGCTCTCCGCAGCATCCGCTGGCGTCAGGTCCATAAGGCTCATGATTGGAGGAAACCCGTTAGCTTTCACTCGTGAGGCTAGTTTGCAGAGGTATCAGCAGTTTCGCAAACGTGGTACTCCTCTCGGCCCCCCGTGTATAAGACGCCCCTCCATTTTTAGTTAAATATGTTTAAGAAAAAGTATAGTCTTATACATGGAAAAATACAGTACTAAACAAGTGCATAACTAGTGCTTGGCTTTCTTTAAAGGAGAACTATGAGGCGAGTGACTTTCACTCAGAATCTGAGCCGATCGGGAGGTGAGCGAACACATGCCGGCGCTCGCTCACTTCTCAATCCTGTGCCGGCAGAGAGCCGTGACTGGATTCCCCCCTCCCCGATCCTCCAGCTCTGACTGGAGGAACGGACGGGGGTGGGTACAGTTGGCTCTGCCTCTAGATAGGCAGAACCAGTTGTCACTCACGCAGCTGGGTGGATCCAGACAGAATTGTGGGGATCCACTTCAGCTGCGGCGTCTCAGTATACCGCGAGCTGTAGCTCCCTATATACTGCGTTTTGGGTGACGGGAGGACGCTAGTTTGTGTCCTCTCGTTACACTTAGGAGAACTATGGGGAAAAACACTGACCCCAAAGTTCTCCTTTAAAAGCCTGGTATGTACTGCACACTGTATTAGGGGAGCACTATGTACTAAACCGTTAATAAACTAGATGAGTAAGTGCATCATCATCTTTTACTCATCAAGTGCCAGAAAAATCCACCTGCAGCACTAGAATCCGCCATTTCCATCATATAATAATCTTCTGAAATGTCTTTATTTACATCTTTGGATAAGATTATCGAGCACAAGCGCAGCTTACATCAATGGCTTGCCTAAGGCTGGCTTATGAATGCTCTCTACACAAATGGGGCAAATCCCATCGTGCCCCTGCCTCTGGCTGTCAGAGCCTTGCAAAGGCTAATAGGATTTGTAGTTTCACCACAGCTGGAGGGCCGGAGTTTAGCTACCCCTATTATACATGTAATAGACTGTAAGCTCTCGCCAGCAGGGACCTTCTAATCCTATTGTACTGAAACTGTACAGTCTACCCCATTTTGGAAAGTGCTGCGCAAACGTTTGGTGCCATATAGATCCCGTATTATAATAACTGGGGATGCGCCAATACCAGTTTTTCGGTATCGAGCACTGATATTTTTTGTTTTGGCACAGCAACCCAGCTTCCAAGTTGACCGGGAAGCCGACTCCATGCTACCTTGTCACTAGGTGACTAGGGAGCATAAAGCCGGCTTTCTGGCCAATCAGAAAGCCGGGGGCGGGTAATGCGTCGCTGTCCGGCTACCTGATTGACCGGCTTCCCGAGCAATCAGGAAGTCGTTACATGCTGTCCTGCTTCCTGATTGGCCGGGGAGCCGTCACCAAGTGACGAGCCAATTAGGAGGCCGGGTGCCTTATGATGACTCGTTGCCCGGCTTCCCGATACGGAAAGCTCAGGTATCGGGCTAGGCATTGGAGCGAGTACAAGGACTCGCCCAAATACTCAGCACCGTTACTAGTATTGGTGCATCCCTATTAATAGTAATACTAAAAAACGAGCTTTAACCCCTTAAGGACCAAGCTTCAGATGCTTGTATTTCAGTTAAGGACCAAAGCAATTTTCGCTCTGCGTGTTCAACCGCAATTTCCATCTTTCTCATTTATTGCACCAACACATATCGTGTACTGTTCTTTAAAGGACAAAAAGGGCTTTAATATGTGGCATAGGCATATAGAAGTTCTCATTTAGCACATGAAGGAAGCTTAAACCCTGAAGGACCCATGACGCAATTATTCAGTCATGGGTCCTTATGGCACGGACAACCATGACAGAATCATTCCATCAGTGGTCCTCAGGAGGTTCAGTGGACACCCCTGGCCTTATCTCTGGGAAATAGAGATCTCTAATGAATATCCATTTTAAACGATCAATTTTACCAGCAAGACCAGTCAGCTGGGGAATATCGCCAATGGCCGCCATGTGTTCATGGAAGTATGACTGCTTCCTATACTGGTCAGATTGACTTACATGACCTTGCACATAACACATGCAAATGCCTTGCAGCTCAAGGAACGGCACCAACGCACCACCGTGGGCATTCTATGGCACCGCAAGCTGCGAGTGTGAAGACACCCTTACGACTTGTGGGCTTCGAGCGATCAGTTTGGGACACTTCTGAGATCATTCAAAATTCATTTGACCTGCTTCAATATGCAAACCCATCTGAAGCCAACAAAATCCAGGCCTTTGCCCCCTTCCCTCTGACTGTATGCATATATGTGGCTGCACAGAGGAGGGCCTTGCCCTGTTCTGCTGTGCTCAGTCGTGCACCCCTACCACTATGACTGCATCATTACCGACGGCTCCCGATGAAAGCCGATTATAGTGATCACATGATCAGGAAAGCCTGTGAAACACCTCCCCTGGGTTCAGGCGTTAGGATATCTCCATGATAGGTCCTTATAACAGCTGCCGCGGCACAGAGCGTACATACAAGGCCTGTAAAAGTGTAACAGAACATCTCGATGGCATCCGTTTGGGACACTTCTGGGATCATTCGAAATTCTTTTGACCTGCTTCACTATGCAAACCCATTTCAAGCCAACAAAAGCCAGGCCTTTACCCCCGTCCCTCTGACTGTACGCATATATGTGGCTGCACAGAGGTGGACTTTGCTCTGCTCTGCCCCATATATGTATCACTGTACTTTGCTCAGTCGTGCACCCCTAGCAGTATGACTGCACCATCACCAACAGCTGCCGATCACTGTGAAAGTCAATTATAGTGATCACATGATCAGGAAAGCCCGTGAAACGCCTCCCCTGGGTTCAGGCGTTATGATATCTCCATGATAGGCCCTTATAACCACTCCCGGAGCACAGAGAATACATAGAAGGCCTGTAAAAGTGTAACAGACAAGTAATGAGAGCTGATAACCGCCACCAACATGGCAGTGTCAGAAATTTCCAGTGCCACTTTAAACCACAGGACAGTAATACTTTATTATTGAGGTCAGTCTCTGCTATACTGCATGTGGTAACATGGCAGACAACACTTGGAAAGAAACAGCGGCCTCTCCGACACCAGGTAAGGGAATACTACGGAACATCTAAAGATAAAAGATATCCGGAATCATTTTGCGTCAGTACCCGCTGATAAAATAATCTGATCCCGAACCGCTGATGCTAGGGAAACTTCCCTGATCTGTTTAACCTCTTCATCACCTCAGTGGCGTCAGACAGTTCCCTTACTGAGATGCATGAACTTTGAGGTTATTTCAGGGCTCGCCGTATCTCTAAAAAGTGTTTGCTACACAAAACCGCATCGAAGAGCTGCGTTCACTCCGGTGATTAATGAATTACTTCTACCTCTGGAATAAAAAAAAGAAGAGCTTTTTGCATTCGGTGGTGTCCTGGTGTTCCCGGCTTTTACATATTGCATTGCACAGTGCGTGTCATTTTGGAACCAGCATTTTGTTTTTACATTCATGCATATAAATGATATCGAAATAGAAGTATGTATTAAGCCGATCGTCGGGAGCAGACGTGTTCTAAATCCTTGGAACAGGAAATCTTACGTGTGCCGGGTTATGGCTCGATCTTTACTCCTTTGATGAACGGAAGGCCGGTGGGAACATTCCTTTTATAATCAATATACTGCTCTCCGAAGAAGTGGATCAGGGAGTATTCCTCTTCCTCCACTCGCTCGCGGAAAAACCTCCAGGAAGCCAGAGTAGCCATCTTGGCCTCTATTTGGGTTTGCAGTGGGCAGATATTAGAGTTCGGACTTAAGAGTGGCACAGTACCTGGGTCCCGATGCTCCAGTAGAACCACCCGACGTAAGAAGGATGTCTGAACCAGGAGTAAACTCCGGAGGTCACCAGTATGTGCGATTCCGACTTCTCATTCTGCACGATGTGGTTGAAGTTGGAGCCGGCAGTGAGCATTGCAGATTTCCTCAGAGACTCCCCGAAGATCACCATCACCAGTCCGATCACACTCAGACATGATATCTGCTTCAGGTCTGCAAAACAAGACAATTCTCACTAATAACATCACACTACAAGTAGAACTAAAGCCTGGCTCTCCTTATCAGAAACATATCAGGGGGGATTTATCAGAACTGGAGCAGACAGAATCTGGAGCTGTTGCCCATGGCAACCAGTCAGCTTCTCTCTTCAAAGTGTTCAGTTAAGCTTTGAAAATAAGAGACGATTGGTTGCCATGCACCGCTGCTCCAGGTTAGATAAAGAGTACCTGTCCCCTCCAAATGCTATCACACGGGATTATTATTCCCTGTCCGATAGAAATACAGTTACGTTTAAAAAAAAAAAACAATTTAAAAGAAAAAGTAAAAAATATTAAAAATGTAAAAAGTAAAAAAGCAATTAAAGTAAAAATAATAAAACAAATGAAACATTTTTACAAAGTAAATAAAAATTAAAACCAGCCCCGCTGCCCCCATCTGCATGCAAATAAACACGCAGTTTTTTTTGTGTGCAACCGCTCGGGCAGGGCGGTATTGCAGCAGGTAAACGCGCAATCGGCCTGGCATGACTGGGGTGTCATTAGAAAATGGCACTGACAGCGCGATTGGCGGTGGTGTGCGATCTGTAACTGCCCGGTCATCGTGCACGAAACCGAGCGGATGGCTGAGTGGTCACGGAATCGCACACCACTGCCGATCGTGCTGTCAGTGCCATTATTTTCTAACGGCATGCCAGGCAGATTGCACGTTTTCCTGCTGCAATACCGCCCGGGTGATCCCACACGATCACGGTTAAAAACACTGCGCGGTGCATGTCATGAAAATAGGTACATCTACCTTTTTTTCAGCGATTGCCACGCAGATGTAACCCCATACATGCGGATGCAACCGCACACAATCGCATGTCCTGGGAATCCCCAAGGAGGTGTCCCCTGAAGCCTGCTCTGAAGGGTGCCCCCTGAAGCCTGCTCTGAAAGGTGGCGTAGGCTTTTAGCAGTTTGCAATCTCCTGGGGAGGTCATTACATCCTATACAAGCCCTTTAAAAGACACGTACCTGGAAGGTCATTACATCCTATACAAGCCCTTTAAAAGACACGTACCTGGACAGATGGTTTTCTCGATGGTGAACTCCACCCAGGAGGAGATGGCCGCCAGTGTGTACTCCACGCTGTGATTCAGCAGGAAAGAGTCCAGGGACAAACTTTTAGGATTGTTCACCGCTGTGATCAAGTATTCCGAGTAGTGGAAGAATGACAGAGAACACACGTACCTAGGAGGGGGAGGGGGAAGAGAAAGCTCGAATGTATCAGGAATCAATATAACAACTGAATCTGATAGAAGTCACATCACTACTGCACAGGTCAGGATCAAAGAGGGCTCGGTCAGATCTCATAGTGCGCTGCAGCGTGCTGCAATAAAGAGGACCTTTTATTTAGAGTGGCTGTCAAAGCACCACCAGGTATTGCTTACAAGGATGCTGAGACTATCATTGAAAGAGCTGAAATCCAATGAAGGAAAGGGGCGGGACATGTGGATATATATATATATACAGGGCTCGAAAAATCCACTCGTCTGTGACGAGCAGACAGTGGAGCCCGATGTACACTACTCACCATCCGAAGTGCCTCCACCCTGACTGGCTGACGCCCACCAGTAGCCCGCAGCCGAAGGCAAAGCCCAGGAACGCCGCTCTGATGGCCACCTGCACAACACAGACGGGATGAAGAGAGAGGAATGGGTCCAGGTTACTGATAATAAAGACTAAACATTGAAATGATCTGCAGATCCAGAGGTATGGGGAGAGGAAGTTCTATGCAAATATCGACACTTTCTCTAAAGTCAAATTTAATTCTGCCCCCACCCCCCTCTTTAATTTCCCCATTGGTCAGTGAGGCTGCCCATCACATGAAAGTAATAGATATCCAGAGAAGGAGGAAGGGGGTGTGGTCATATATGACTCCTGAGTCTCCCTATTGGGGAGTGATGCCGCCTGTCACATTAATGTAATAATAGATATCCAGAGAAGGGGGGAGGGGGTGTGGTTAAATATTACTCCGGCCAATGAATGCATAGGCCATTGATCTGGGAAGTGTTGCGTTTGTTAATGTTTACACACATTCAGGATGGACGCAGGACGCACAGGATTCTATATTTTCCAAACGCAGGTGAGCGCACAGTGTGAATGATCCGATTTACAATCATCACATCCGTTCATATGTGTTTAGTAATGTCCTGTGATTGCATATAATGACATGTATGACACTGCCGTGTGAATGGGGCCTGAGATGTATTTTGAGTCATACGCTCCGTGTCTTTACCCCCCCCCCCTTCTCCTCTACATCACTTGTTATACATGACAGGAGGAGGAGAGGGGAAGTCTCATAGATCACAATGTCTTCTCTTCTCACATTATACAATGTACAGCGGTGACACCGACACTGAACCAGATTAACTCTGAGCTCCTCTCAGTGTCACCTGACAAATCCTATTACTGGAAATAGCACAAATCCCCCCTCCCTGTCCTCATGCAATCCAACAAATCGCCCCTCCCTGTGACCCCACAAATCCCTTCTCCCTGTGACCCCACAAATCCCTTCTCCCTGTGACCCCACAAATCCCTCCTCCCTGTGACCCCACAAATCCTTCACTCCTGCGACCCCACAAATCCCCTCTCCCTGTCCTCCTGCGACCCCACAAATCCCCTCTCCCTGTCCTCCTGCGACCCCACAAATCCCCCCTCCCTGTCCTCCTGCGACCCCACAAATCCCCCCTCCCTGTCCCCCTGCGACCCCACAAATCCCTTGTGGGACCGGTGGAGACGTCAGTGGGGAGGTCGGTGCACCCGGTGGAGACGTCAGTGTGGAGATCGGTGCACCCGGTGGAGAGGTCAGTGGGGAGATCGGTGCACCCGGTGGAGACCTCAGTGGGGAGATCGGTGCACCCGGTGGAGACCTCAGTGGGGAGATCGGTGCACCCGGTGGAGACCTCAGTGGGTAGATCGGTGCACCCGGTGGAGATGTCAGTGGGGAGATCGGTGTACCTGGTAATGGGCTCCCCGGTAGAGAAGTAGCAGCAACCCATTGAGGACGGCTATGAAAGCGGTGAAGATGATTCGGTCCCCGGTATTCCCCAGCAGGCCGGGCCCGACTTCGATGTAGCGGTTGGTGACGATCGGCAGGAAGATCACTGACAACCCGAGGAGGAAACTGACCACACTGACTCTCCCCTCCACCGCCAGCCGCTCGCCGGCCATGTTGGAGGAGGCAGAGAGGAAGCGTACCACCCACTTCCGCCCAGGCAGGGGCGTGTCCTGAGCTGCCACACGGACAGGAGGAGGAGGCACAGCGACCCCTGCCGGTGAAAAACCTCGTAGTTCTGAGGAAACCGGAAGTAATGCGGTCCCACAACTCGACAAGTTCGTAGTTTTGATCGATCACCGGCCGGATGGCGCACAGCGCAGAACTATATAGAGTATATAGCATGTGACAGTCAGCCTTCCCACCCCCCACCCTTCATACCTATAGGCTATCTATACATCAGAGGTAGGCAGCCTTGGCACTCCAACTGTGGTGAAACTACAAATCCTATCGTGCCTCAGCCTCTGGAAGTCATTCCTGTGGCTGTCAGTCTTGCACCTGCATGGTGGGACTTGTAGTTCCACAACAGCATGGAGTCCCAAGCCCAGATAGCAAGCAATTGAGCTGCAAGTTTGAAAATGACTTGCTAAACTATTGCAGACTTGCCGAGCTTCACAATTTTGTTGCACAATTACATGGGTTGGCATCCTGATGTCTCCAGGTGGCCTGTGCAACTCTCAGGTGAGCTGTGTGCACCCTCAGGCGTGCTATGTGACTCTCAGGTGGACTGTGTGACTCTCAGGCGGGTTATGTGACTTTCAGGTGTACTGTGCGCACTCTCAGGTGGGCTGTGCACCTCTCAGGTGTACTGTGCGCACTCTCAGGTGGGCTGTGCTGCTCTCATGTAGGCTATGCGCCTCTCAGGTGGGCTATGTGACTCTCAGGTGGGCTGTGCTGCTCTCAGGTAGGCTATGCGACTCTCAGGTGGGCTGTGCGACTCTCAGGTGGGCTGTGCGCACTCTCAGGTGGGCTGTCTGGGCTATGGTGTCTCACCAGGGGTCCGCAAGCGGGCAGCACGGTGTCAGGGAGCTGGAGGAAGAGAAGGCCTGTACCTGTTTACAGGTGCCCGCAGGTCAGAGGAAGACCCATTTTCAGGTCAATGCAGCTGCCAGAGATGGCGCTTGCCGGGGACCTCAGCAGCTGCATCTGTCAGAAAGTTTAAAGTGCCGACAATGAGTGTCTTGTGTGTCCGGGTGTCCCCTGGCTGGACAACCGGATACAAGACTCCAAAACCAGACTGTCCGGGTGAAAACCGGATTGGATGGCAACCCTAATGGTGCTGCACATGTGACCAGCTATGCCGCCAGCCATTTGAGGGCTTCAAAGTTTGGTTGAGAGCTGAAATAAGCACACACAACCTTGAATGTTTTGGGAGACATTAAATTGGTGGGTAAAGTTCCTGTTTAAAGTCAAAAGACAGTAAAAATACGTTTCTCTTTATAACATGTTTTCATTTAACACAGCGATGGGAGTTAAAGGCGAAATCAGACGCGTCTATGAATGGAGAGAGCTGTCCGGCCTTCACAAAAACACTTCAGCAGCCGCCCTTCCATTCCCCCAGATGGTGGCTGTTTGTTTTGATGGGGAGCGGAGTCAAACACAGCATCTGAAAGACTTGGAAGTGAATGCCAGAGGACAATGGCAGGAAAAACCCACACGGCTCATTCAGCGGGTGCAGAGATAGAGACTTGTTATAGTGTGGGAAGCGGAGTGAGAGGGGGGGAAGATAAAAGACGTCGCACCCATCGACGACAGGGATGAGAGGCTCTAGACTGACTGACGGGTCAGAGGGCCATGGTAGACCAATGCCTCGGGACAATACAAAAGGTGTCACCTCCACAAATGCCTTTTAAGTGTAAATTTAGGGAAGAAATCATAAATTGTCAGCTTCAGAAGGAGCACGTAAGATAAATCTGAGTGCTAAACTCCGGGCAGATATAGAAGACACACAATTAAGCCGTTCTGCATTCAGTAAAGTGGAAGTTCACCCTACAATTACTCAATGAGCATCAAACAGCCATATAACATATGTACCTTGATAAATACATTGGGGGGAATTTATCAAAACAGGAGCAGACAGAATTTGGAGCAGTTGTGCATGGCTACCAATCAGCATCTCTCTTCAGTTTGCTCAGCTATGATTTGAAAACGAAAGAGAGAAGCTGATTGGTTGCAATGCAAATCTGCTCAAAATTTTGTCTGCTCCAGTTTTGATCAATTCCCCCTCATAGTGTCATGTTTGACTTCTGCCCGGTTGTCCAGGAATCAGCATTGGAAGCTGACAGCCATTTACCAGCAACACCGTGCAACTCATAAGGGTCTATTTATAAACAGTTTGCAGGGCTGTGAATATCCATAAATGTTCGTTTTGGGTGAATAATGCCAAAAGCAAATGTTCTTAATATATTTTTTGCCCCAGTTCGAATGCAGTGTTTTGTAATATCAAATTATGGCCACTAGATGGAGCTGAAGAGCATGGGAAATAAGTATTTGTTTCCCATGCTCTTCAGCTCCATCTAGTGGCCATACTGTATTATTACAACACACTACATTCGAACTAGGATAAGCTTCATCTAGTGACCATACTGTATTATTACAACACACTACATTCGAACTAGGAAAAGCTTAACTTAGTGGCCATAATGTAATATTAAAACACTACCTTCGTACTGGGAACAAAATATATTAAGTTTTTGGCATTATTCATCCAAAACAAACATTCATAGATATTCGCAGGGTAAAAAAAGCCCTGTGAATTGTTTACAAATAGACCCCATGGTGTCCCTCATCCCCTCTCAATCTGTCTTTGGAAGCATTAGGGCACAGAGGAAGCGTATCCATTCAAGCTTTCCAACCACAAGACATAGATAGCATGAGGGAGGCTGAGTGAGCCTCCACCATGAGTCTGCTGGTAATAGCTGATAGTTTTCCAGTGCTGGATTGCTGGAGAACCAGCACAAGGAGCCAATCAGTCCATATGCTGGCAAGAAGCATGCTGATAGAAGGAGAGAGAGAAGTGTAATAGGGAGATGAGCTCATCACTGTACTGCTGCTCTATTCACTGTCCATTCACAGCCTGGGGTGGGTCCAGGATGACCTGGGCTACGAGGAGTGTGTTGAATGATGACTGATCAGACTGAGGACCTCTAGTGGCAGAATAAAGTACTGCAGGTGAAATCTCTGCATTGAAGCTGAATGTTGCAGCAAAAGCTGTTTTTATAATTTGATCTTTTAATAAACGATTCATTTTTATCTTGTCATTTCTGGCCAGAGTTCTGCTTCAAATGCAGCGATAGCTATCGGAAATTGAGATTGACTCTATACACAGGAATTCAAGTGGATGCAATCTCTTTTGTAACAATGTATCACAAAGAATTTGTAAAATGGACATTTTTCTCCACAAGAGTCACAAAGCCAAAGTAACGGTGCGCTGGTCACTCTCCTTCAAGAGTCAGCTTGTCTACGTCCCCGGAGTTTTTTTTCGAGGTTACCTGGAGTACAATGGGCAGATTTGTTTTCTGTCACATGTACATGGGAATAATGGCGAAATAATGGAGCGATGTAAAGTTCACAATAAAGTTTTCTCACCGCAGCTGTGGCCGAACCAGCCAGTCCCCAACAACAAGGCGCTCCCCTCCGAGAACAATGTACGGGGAATCTATAGTGCGAGCAGGGCTTGGGAAGCGTGGAAATCGGACAGTCCGCCTCCTTCTCCACGGTCCTCTAAGAGATTCGACACACTCTTCAACAAAGGGGGCCACAGCTCCTGGGAACAGGTCTCTGAATCAATGAATCAACTTTCCTGGCACATACATCATCCGTTAAACAGTTCCCTAATGACGCCATGAAATCTCTGGCAAAACTTTATTCTCCATGTTACACAACCTAGAGCAGGACTTGGTAAAGGGGCATTTGTAGGTTTCCTAAAAGACCTGGAGCACTTCCCGGGCACCTGGACCAAAATGAAGAAGGGTTTGAGGTATACCGTGATAGAAAAAAGTGGGTGATGTTGTTTTTCTTTCCTCATGAGCATTGAAATCCAATGTATGATATTGCTGAAAAATACAAATACCGGTAGATAAAAAAGAGTTGGTAAACAAAATGATATTCCAAAACTTTAATGCACATATAATATATGTCATTGGTAATCAATGGACTGATGTCGTTAATGAAAAGGAAATATGAATTGTAACATTTAGGTAAATATAGAACCCAAGTACTTCATCAAAAATGTATTTATGTAATTATCTTCTCGACAGGATTCTCAAGAGGGAAACATGTGCCTAATAGTGGCAGCAAAAATCAATGATCAGCTTTGAAGGATTGTACTTGGGATGATGACAACTATTTGTACACCTAAGGGTAACTCAGTAGAAGATATGGGGCATTGAATAATAGACCTGGGGAATTCAGTAAAAGACCTAGGGCACTCAATAGAATACATAAGGAACTCAGTTGGAGACCTGGGGCACTCAGTAGAAGACCTGGGGTACTCAGTAGAAGACCTGGGGCATTCAATAGAATGCCTGTGAGACTTAGTTGAGGACACAGGGCACTCAATAGAAGACATGAGGACATCAGTTGAAGACCTGGGGCACTCAGTTGAAGACCCGGGGCACTCAGTAGAACACCTGGGGGACTCAGTTGAGGACACAGGACACTTAAGAGAGGACAAGAGGAACTCAGTTGAAGACCTGGGACACTCTGCTGAAGACCTGGGACACTCAGTAGAAGACTCAAAGCGCTCAGAAAAAGACATGGGGGACTCAGTTGAAGACACAGGTCACTCAATAGAAGACCTGGGGGACTCAGTTGAGGACACAGGTCACTCAATAGAAGACCTGGGGGACTCAGTTGAGGACACAGGACACTCAATTGAAGACCTGGGGAACTCAGTAGAAGATCTGGGGCACTCAGCAGAAGACCTGGGGCACTTAGTAGAGGACCTAGGGCACTCAATAGAAAACCTTGGGGACTCAGTTGATGACACAGGGCACTCAATAGAAGACCTGGGGAACTCAGTAGAAGGCCTAGGGCACTCAGTAGAAGACCTGGGACACTCAGTAGAACACCCGGGGGACTCAGTTGAGGACACAGAACACTCAAGAGAGGACAAGAGGAACTCAGTTGAAG